AGGGTCAAACTGCAGTGACTTTTGCCATATACTTTCATCTCATTTTCTGGTCTCGATCTCCATGTGGACTGGTAAGGTTCATGAGAGCATCCATGTGATTTCTCTCAGGAAATAAGCATTTGAACCAGAGAAGAAAGGTCTATCCCTGTCTCAAAATAAACAAATCTTAGGTGCTACAGAGAAAACATACTCAGACCGTGGGACAGGAAAGTTGTGCGTGCTGGAACTCAGTAGTACCCTGTCTGGCTTGAAGAGGCATTGATGGACAAAAAGGAGTCCTATCTGCACAGATGTAGACAGATTCAGCTGGAAATACAGTCTTTTACAAAGCGGGGAGAGGAGATCTGTAAATCTTTATTATAAAACTTGTGTATATCTGTTTTCTAAATGAATTGTATCACAAATACTGACACAGATGAACCTATTCGCTTCTCTAGTGTTAGCTGGATGCCTCCGAGTAAGCCATTGACTGTTCAGTGCACAACAGGGGAAGAATTGCTTCTTGCCAGATCCCAAGGGAAAACAGTTAAGTCTACATAAAAATATTCCTGTATGGAACTGGCCTTGAGCTTATGGGAGCCTCTCTTAGAAATGAGTAAAGTTTTTGTACTGGTCAGTTGAAGGGTGTAAGAGATGATGGAGCAAAGGTCGGGGTTTTTAACTATGGGAATGAAAATGCAAAGGATGTTTTAAAATACCCTCCTCTTAAATTTGCTTTTCCCAGTCCAACAGTAACCAAGCAGTACTGCAATAAGTAATGTCTTTCTGTTAGTAATGAAACAAACCATCACTGAGCTGCAACTGTCATGCTGTGTGTTGGGCTCAGAAAGAAAGGGAACAGGGGGAGATACCGCTGCTCGCTCGAAGTATCACCAAATGAGCTGTGCCTAAGGGAGTATGTAAACATCTCCTGGCTATGGCTGCATGTCGTCCTCCCTAGGCCATTTGACCAGTAGAGCTAAAAATATTGCTCGTGGAGCTGGGGTTCTGAATCCTTGTCCCTCTGAATCTTGTCTCATGCAATGTGAAGCCTGGGTAGCTTTTGATGATCTGCGATCTCCGTATAATGGTTTTACTAATGGAAGGTTCAAATCTCTGGCTCAGTGGAAATTAAATCATCAGTTCAGTAATCTAATCGATTTTTTAGCATGACATTTCTTCTTGCTTTGATAATCGGAAAAAAATAAGAAGCTTTGTGCAGTGTGCTGAAATCTCACCAGTCTTTCATCATACATTTAATCCCACACAGCGTACAAGAGTAAGGGAGAACAGATCGAACTGTAATAAGAGTAGGAATGAGCGCAGATTTTCCATTTTGTGAGAAATTCCATAATTGTCATGATGCTTTTCATTGTGAACGTTTCTGTAAAATGAAATTCCAAAAAATACTTTGATTTTGTTCAAGAGGGATTTTTTAAGTCAGTGGTCAATTTTTCCTTATAAAGATCATGAAACTATTTTATGGCTTTATTGAAATCTTCATCTGAGACTTGATTTTTTTATTTTTATGAAATTTGTCACACCCAGGCTCGTAATTGAAGGTCTGAATCCAGGAAATCACTTGACTGTGTGCTTAACTTCACCTCTATTCTTACGTCCCATTGACATTAATGGGATTTAAGCATGTGCTTCTCTAAATCAGGACCATCAGTAATTAAAGAATAGAAAAGTAATTATTGAATTGGAAAATTAGAGGGCGATCAGAAATTTATTTGAGCAACAATGTGTGGAAATCATTAAGAATGTGAAGATGGCATTTTTGCCTTATGGATATGATGTGCCCGAAGCATCAGTAATGTTTAGCTTTGCTATAAATCACAGTTGACAATATGAGACCAACTTAAGTCACTTACTTGTTTCTACTATTTTATTAATGCTCTAAATTAAAAAGAACCCTTTTGCAAAACCCTTCTGGCACTTTAGAATTTGCAGGAAATGGGAGCAAGATGTACAATTTTTAAATTGATATAGTGAAACATTGTAGTATTTTTGATATTGAATGAGGTCACTGTTGTTTCTGCTGCTTTGGCTGTGCAACTCTGGAAGTCTAGCTGAGAGAATTCAGACTTTACTTTCTTGTGATTTGTACTGGAGGTCTGAGGGGAAGCACTAAATGTTGTCCAGTTCCTTCCTAGATTGCACAATGATTCTTTCCTGTAAAGTTAGTTGCACCCCTTGTAAATATGGCTGCCTTGTTTTTGCTTAAGAATTTGTCGCTCAGGCCCCAAATCTGCAAAGACTTCACTTAATACAACTTTTAGAACAACCTAAAGCAGGTATGCTTTTTGAATTTAGTTATGGCAGACTTAAAACCGTACGTTATCAGGAAATACTCACATTTAGGGTGTTGGGATAACTTTCTGCTGGCTGGAAATTTGTATTATTGCTCCTGAAAGTGTGTTCTGTACTAACACATCATATGCACAGTCATTCTGAATGTGATTGAAGAATGGGCAGCCCCGTTCCCACAAGCATCCTGCAATCCTTTTGCCCAAGAGCCTGAAATCCAGGGCTGTGATTGCAGGCCTTGGGCCGACTTACCTGGGAATGGCGACAGTGGTTCTGACCTCCAGGCATGCACACCGCCCTTCTTATGGAGGTTGCTGCTGCTTCCGCAGGGACAGCTCGGCTGGTTGCTTAGCAGCTCTCAAACTGCTGCAGTTTTAAGGTACGGGAGCAGTGGGTTCTGGGTTACCTTTCTGCACCACGCTCGGACTGTGCCGGCTCAGTGCTTGCTCCACGAGTTGTTGTGCAGCACAGGAGGAACCTCCCAGAGAGATGGTGGGGCAAGAAACACCACTGCTGTCGTGAGGTAAGCTGTCCCTGCTCATTAATCAACTTCCTTGCTAGCTATTAGTAGCCTCGTTACTGTCATCGTGTAGAATGGGTTTCATCAGAAGCAAGGAGAACGCTGTCCGTATAGTCCGTTCTCTCCACAGCTGATCCTGCACACCCTGTCACATGGACCAGTAGTTTGCTGACCCCAACTATTCCCGTCTTGTAAATTTAACTCTTACTATCTTAATTCATGATAAAAATAGACTGCAAATCTAGAGTCCAACATTTAAAATTAAAATATCGTGGAATTAATGACAGATTTACGATCATTTGACAAATAAGTTTGTTATTTGCGTGGGTAGCGTACGAGATTGTATTGAAAAGTCCTGTTAAGCGCAGGCAGAAGCAAATAAAGGATTGCAGCGATTTCTCGATCTGTTGTTTCTTACATTGGTGACTAAACCTTGCTCCACTGAAGGTCATACTGGCAACTTATCAAGAGAGCAAGAACCACTTAATTGCAAAAGATGGAGAAGTTGGAAAGGCTGTCATCTTTTTGAAGATCATTAGGCTTGCACTCCTGTTTTTGTTTTTCTCCTTTACTCGAAAAGTAAAATGACATAACTTAGGGAAATTACAAAGCATTTGTGTCTACCCTCTTTGTAGGCTTGTGAAATACGGGTGATTTCTTGTGACATGAAAGCAGAGTTTATGGGCACAGTACACCGTCTGGAGTTGTCTTAAATAAATTTGACAGAAAATAGCTCGTACGCTGGATTATAGGTTTTACATTTACGGTTGCCTTGCAGGCTTTGGATATTAATATAAAAGTGATGTTTATCACTTTCCTGATAAACAAATGAATATAGCAGAACTGTGATTGGGAAGTCGGAGTAGGCCATGCTTTTTTGTATCCCAGGTGAAGAGGGCATCAGGTGTAGTTCTGACAGCCAGGTACAGCAGATCTGGGATCACACTTCACAGCTCCTTTCCCCGGCGACGTGTCCTCTCTTACATCATGCATTTCCCTGCTTTCTGTACCGGTTGCCAGGCATCCCTTCGTCGCTTTTAATCCTTGGCCCTGCCTTTGCGTGGCCGTGTAACCTGGGGCAATCTTAATTCCTTCCTCTGACATCTTCTTCCGAGTCCTTGCGCTGCTGGCATTGCTATGCTATCGGAGCACCTGGACTTGTACAGCACGGCTAACGTCTGTTGCGTGCTTTGTTGTTTTTCTCATCCTTTTGCTAGGGAGACAACTTGCGCGTGGAGTGTGAAGCAGTGTGTAATGCTGATAGTTTTTTTTTTCTTTTTAAATATGGCCATCCTGTTGCTTTTAGGAAAGAAAGGCTGAAAAAGTGCTTTGCACTTAGAAATAGAAGGTGGGGAAGCTTTGTGGAGGTCCATGGTCACTGAGTCAGTGTCCACATCTGTAAAACAGGAATAGTCTCGTTTTAGGGGCTGCATGGGAGTGTTGAGAGGATTAATGACTGTTCATAAAGTGCTTTGACCTGTAAACTGCTGCATTATTACAACATTTTTATTGATCATAATAGGCCATGAAGCATTTAGAAGTAGTCATTAGATATTAAAAGCTTCACAAAGCAAATTATGCTGTGCTGCCATGGTCCCTTCCTTGTCCCCTGAAGCAGTATGTATCTTGTCAATATTTTAATTGGGGAAATGATATGCACTCAGGAGTAAATCTTCAGCTAGTGTTATTCATCATAGATTGTTTTTTTAATTCAGCTGAAGATTTGCCTGGGGCGTCTGACAGAAATTTTGCAAGCTTCAGTTCTGCCTTCAGATTGTAGCATACAGACTGTATGTGCTTCTATCTATGTAGAGTCTAATTTTGCGCTATTTATACAACCATTTTTGTAATTTACATTTGTGCAAAGACACCTTGTGTATGGAAATGCTACAAAATCCTTGTAAGACAGGTGGAAGTCAAAAGCTTTGGATAGGTCTCATAACGCTGGGCCGCATCCAAACCCACGGTTAAATAATTTAAACAGGAACATTAACAGCTGGTTTGAGCATGAATGGCTGTCTACAGATTCGAACACGAAAATACAACTAAGGCACTTTCTTCGCTTTCAAATGTTTTGAGAAGAAAGATGGCCAGATCTGTCTGCTACTTCTGCACAAATTTTCATTTTCTTCATCTAACCCAAATTGGTGAGGAGCTTATAAAAGTGTGATTCTCTTTTCTGTTTATGCAGGGGAGGAGCTGGATCGTGAAGCGGAGTTATGAAGACTTCAGAGTACTTGATAAACATCTTCACCTATGTATTTATGACCGGCGCTTCTCCCAGCTCTCAGAGCTACCCCGCTCCGATGCCCTGAAGGACAGTCCGGAGGTAAATTACCAGCTCTATAAACATTTAAAGCACAGTCCCCAGCAAGGGGTTGGAAGATATTTGCAAGTATGGACAAAGTAGTTTTAATGTGGCCTGGGTTAGATTTGGAAATTGATTACTAGTAATAAGATCAGCGTGTTTGTTTTCTACCCTTAATTTCAGTGATCTAAAGGGAAATGCCCTGCAAGTTCATATGAGTTAATGTGCTGCTAAATGTGGAATGGTTACTGAGAGTGTCAAGAAAGAAGCTGTCCTGTTAGTACCTTAGATAAGAATTTTGTTATGTCTTTGGAAACTTTTTCAATGATGTGGTTATTTCCTGACTTAAAGTTAGCAACTTAACATTCCTAGGAAATCATGCTGTTCTAAGGCTGCAGCACTGCAAGAGTAATACCATTTGGAATGCTAGACTTATATGTATAAACTGAAAATCACTGAAGTTGTTTTTTAAGAGCATTTGCATTACTGCATTATTTAAATGGTCTTTAAAAAGCTTAAAGAGTGGGTTTTTTTCCTAAATGAATAAGAGGTATTCTTCATTTCTTGACTTGCTGTCTTCACCTGGCATATGGAGAGCTGGAATTCCTTCGGCTTCTTGCCTGTTGATAATTTAGAGATTTATTCCTGTCCAAATTAATCTTCTGGAAAGTAGCAGGTGCACCTTGACTGCATCATTTCAGAAGATGTGGAGAGCGAGGCAATGTAATGCGTGGCTGCAGAGGTTATCTGAGCCAGTAGAGCATAACAAAACTGTTCGGCCTCAGTCTGTCTGCGGGAAGAGCATGCATCACGGTGACGGACAGTGCCCGTTGCTTCATTTCACAGGTCACTTATCTCTGGGACCTGTAGTTGTATGTTTGCCCCCTACCATCAAGCACAAGTACAGAAAAATCTTGACACGCTGTGTCGGAAGGCCAATGTTGCCTGCTCACGAGATGTGTAGCTGAAAAGGGAAATGAGGAAATTGAGGCCATTCAAAGAAGAATCCATCCAGGAACTATAAATCAGAATCGGTGTTCTTTCAGTGCTGAGTGGGTGAGGATTGATTGCTTTTGAGCAACACACAATGGCCAAAATCAGTACCCCACTGAAGTCTACAGGGCTTTTGCCATTGAATATAGGAAGTTGATAAAGTGGTCCCATTGCTCATCAGAGAATCTGATTTATTAGTTGCTTTGGTTTAATGCAGACTATTTCTGAAGACAGTTTAAAGTTTCTAGTCTCTTAAATTCAGCAGAAGCAGCAATATTCAGGATAATGAATTCCTGGGTTTATATTTTAAATTATATTTTAGGCATTTCTATCCCTTACATCTTTATTTGTATAACTGATTTAATATGTACTTTTTAGCACGAGGGTGAAAATCTGGATTATATCCGTAAGCACAGAAGATGTAAACACATTGAACAGCTCTACTGCTGTGAAATATAATTCTGCAGCTGTGTGGTGTCTCGTACTATATTTTTTATTTTGAATTGACCACATTTGAACAGATGTTTGAGGAGAACAATGTTTTAAACAGTCCTACAAACTCTGGGCTACAATACTGCTTTATAACGCTGTCACTGTGAAGCTTTGGAAAGACGTCACTAGCTTCTCTTTAATAAAAGCAAGTTTACTATTATAGAAGGGACATTGCTAAGTGTATTTTTAAAACTCTCTTCTACTGTTTGAAATATTACTCTTTCACCAAGGGGTCAGTCTGAGTTGCCACATTCTTAAGGGTTTGCAAGTGGGTGGAAATGGCAGCCAGTGTTTTGTTTCGCTAAATGGTTCTCAGATGTGTTTGACAGCCATAATACAAATGATTTGTTTGTATGTGAAATTCATGATGAGAGGAAGGCTTTAGATCTAAGGTATCCTGACAAGGAAAATTATGAAAATCTACATATCTTATAAAAAAACATTATTACTTTCACAGGGAGCTGCTGCTTTACACAATTTTTTTGTGTGTATTCATTATAACACTGTATGTAGTTTGCTGTCCTTCTTCAAATGACAAATTTCCTTGCAAAAGGGAATATATTTCTATAACACTTGCGTATGGCTATGGATAATTTATGGTCTCTCCAAGTCTGAAGAATTCTCTCCAAACTATGGTGTATTAACAGAAAAACTGTATGTCCGTTTCTTTCTGTTCCAGCTTGTCACCCAGATGCTGATGGCTTACCTGTCACGTCTCTCAGCCATCGCAGGCAACAAGATAAACTGTGGGCCTGCTCTCACATGGATGGAGGTATAGTATGAAGCTCAGGTTGTTCTTTGTTTCCTCACCTTAGCAGCAGAGCAAGCCACAAATGTGCTCTCTTGCCTTTCCAGAAAGAGGTATAATCCTTCCAGACCTATTGGTGTCACTGAAACGCTATCCGAAAAACTTTATTCCCCTGTTACCAGCATACAGGTGGCCACAAAAGGTATAGAACAAACCGAACCAGATCCAGTGTTAAGAATATAGGAGCTTTTTTCCCCCTCTTGCTTGGATTTTGTCACCCAAAGACGTATCATTCTGCTGATATTTACAAATAAAAGGTTGTGGCTGGGGGGGGGGGGCGGGGGGGGGGGGGGGGGGGCCGGTCTAGCAAAGCAGTGGTTGGGTCAATGGACCGCCTGGGGAAGTCCAGTTCATGGCTGAAGTCTCTTGGGTTGCAGAACGCACACGCATGCTTACGCTCCTTTTTGGCAAGGCAATACTGCAAGTGTGGCAAGTTTCTAAAACTATTGGAGCTGTCGCAGTTATGGTGTTTGTCTGTCCTCTTTTTTTTGTTTTTCCTTGCGATAGCTGCATCAGTTATGGTGTTTGCCCTCTTTTTTTTTGTTTTTCCTTGCGATAGCTGCAGAAACAATAAATATTATCTGCTCCTGTTTGCCATCGCTGTTGGTTAAACTGCTCAACAGAGCCTGCGTTGTGCTTGCAGTGGCACTGTTTGTATATTGTGAATTGCAGCTGCAGCTTTGGTTTCGCTGTCAACGGTCTTCTACCATCTTAAACAATAGACCTTATTGGGCAACGAGTGCAGGAAAGAATGGGGCTAAGTGATGAAGGCCACCTGTCTGTGTCAGCGGTGCTGTTGCTGATTAGTCTGGGTAGAGAGATGTGTGTCTTTCCATTGCCTGATGATATTGCTGCACACCAGGAATAGAAACAGCTATTATTAGACTGTTGCAATTTGTTTTCAAATGGTTGTGATAAGGATTGAGTGCATTTTCCTGCAATTTTCCCTGCTGATAGGCTCCTCTCCCTGAAATCCTTTGGGATGAGAAAAATCTTGGAAACCTCAGCACAAAGGGAGGAAGGAAGTTATAGAAAAAAATGAAACTGTAGAATTTACAGCAATGCAGTGGACCTAGAGATTACAGCAAACCTACTGCACATGCAATACAGAATAACCTTTCCGATTAACTGAGAATCTTACAAAATTTTACACAAGCACAAAAATCTAGGAGCTTTGAAAGTAGGCTGATGATTGCAGCAAGGGGTGGGAGCCATGTTTTCTTAAAAAAAGAAATAAAAGGGTAGGAGAAAATTAAAAGCGATGCTGGTTTTCGGTTTGACAGCATTTCCTCCGTACCTCAGTGCCTCTTCTTGAGCATTAATTCCACTTTGTAGAGAATTTTTGTAGTCACTTTTGTATTGCTGTTTTAAGTACTCCAGGAAAAACAATACGATTTGGTGTTAAAGGGAGGTGTAAACATTCACTGTCATGTTACTGTTTGTACACAAAGATGCACAAATACAGCATTTTTCTCATTAGTTGGATGGGGACATACGACCTTCCGAAATACTCTCTATGAATTGTTCTTCCTCTTCCTTTCTGCGTGTGCTGTGCCCTACGCTGTCTCTCCATGCTGCTCTCCTCAGGGGGCCCCCAAGCTGTGCTGTCTCTGTGAATCAGCTTGAAATCTCTACCATGTATGAGCACCAATAAAATGCCTCCTCACTTGTCCTCAGCTGCCTCAAAGTCTCCTTTGCTCTTTATTTCAGATTGATAACAAGGGGAATCACCTGCTAGTCCATGAGGAATCGTCCATTAACGTTCCTGCTATTGCTGCTGCCCATGTTATTAAGAGATATATTGCTCAAGCAGCAGACGAACTGTCCTTTGAGGTAAATAATTAAAGGAGCTTACATTCCTTGTTGTCATATACAGAAGAGTGTAACGTGTGTGTCTGTGTGCGTGCATCAGGAATATATTCAGACACTTTCAGAATGTTTTGTGAGGCGAAGCTTAGAAGATTCATTCAATATTCAATTTGCAGTGGGTTGGATACAGGGAGGAGTTCAGTCATCTTTAAAATACAGCTTTACTTGGCATTAGTATCTTCTGATTAAACGGATACTGCCAAGTACTCTACCCTGGTCTCTGAGCAGCAGCAGACCCTGCGTAGTTCGTACTGTACAGTGTATTAAAAGTATCTTGTATCTGTTCGCGAAGACTGTCCACATATGTGTCTGTGTGGACGCATGCCAATTTAATTATTCCTTGGCCAGTTTACACAACCTCTGTTCCTGTTAGCAAGTCCGTGTCTAAAACCATTTGTAAGAGCTTGTGCTCTCATGAAAAGTAAAGAACCAGACTGGTTACCAAAGAATTTGGTACTTAAAGGGCAGGTGATAACCTAAAACTGTTCTGAAAATCTTACTCGATGCAGAGTAGGAGCTGCTGTGGAGCAGAGATCTGGAAGATCAGACCCTGGGAGTCTTTGGATATCTGGCTCTTGTCTATTCTACCCAGAAAGCAGCGTTTTATGCTCTGATTGTTTATGTGCAGTGGTACTATCGATGGAGTATTCACAGTGTTATACAAAAAAGTGTAAAGGAAAACAGTTAGTGCCCGAAGGAGTTCTTGTGATCACATTCTTAGCATGCAGCGCAGGAAGTAAAAATAATAATGATAGTCTAGTGCTGCCAGGGTTTTGTTCATATTCAAAATCGAGGCAATTATTAGTGTACACCAAAGAACCGCGCTAATCAGAAAGGCATGCGGGCATGTCATCTTCCAAGTTAAAATGCATGCAGTACAGGATACAGGCTGTTTGTCAGTGTCTCAGTATTAATAAAAGCACTAAGATGGCATTCCCTGCTTGTAAATCTTACAGCTCTGTGCCACCAGGCTAATTTGGCCTTGCAACTGTCATGCAGTCCAACAAGTTGTTAGGAGGCATAGCATACAAGCAGGGAAACCAAGGCACGTGTGGCTTTCCAAGTTTATGCAGTGAGAAACCTTGGCAGAACAGAAGTGGAATATGATCGGTTGTTTTACAATGTTGCGTTCTGTTCCCTAACCCAAACTCTCTCTCTGTGTTTAGGCTATTGTTAATTTCTAATAGGCAGTTGCAAAATTAGCTGACTGGCATTTGCTCCCCAATACTGAGGAAAATACCTGGCTTCTCTGCTCGTTGTGGTGACAGCAGTTTCCTTAATGGAAATTTGCTTTGCTGTTGGTTTGCTATTCCCTTGAGGAAGTCGCTTCACTTCCCTGTGTCTCAGTTATCCCTATGTGAAAAATGGGGATGTGTTACCTTCTTTGTAAAGCACTTTGAGATCCACCAATGTAAAACATCTGGTAAAAGTTGGACATTAACGTTGACAATTTTTGCTATACCTAGCTGCAGTATTTATTTAGGTTCTGCCCCTTCTACTCTACTACTTCTATAATGGAGGCCACACAGATCTTGATTCCCACCAAGCCAAGTTTAGTATTGATTATACTGGTTTCCTTTTGAACTATTGCAGTATTACATTTTTTATGGGAATGAGCAAAGTTTCAGAAAACCTGTTTGGTCTCCTTGGTCATTTTCCTTCCTGTTGCTGTAACACTGCACCACCTCTCCTCTGTTCATTTTCTAATTAAGAAAAGCACGTCTTGGTCAGTCTGTGAACTACAAAGGGAGCTCTCAACTTTTTGCTGTGAAAGGAAACAGGTAGACATATGTCGATGCCTATATACACGTATATAGGGCATGTAGTAAAAATTAGTTCAGCTACTTGAGAACATTTTCCAAAGTGTTTCATGCTATCACTGCTTACTTATGTCTGCAGTTTAATCAGAACGTTTCTTTCTTCAGAGAGCCTGCCGCTTTTGCGAGCTGTTTCCTTATGACCGGCTGTATCTTGTATGTTGTATAATGCAGTAACTCTTCTACCTCACAGTTTGATTTTACAAAGGCAAATATCTCAAGAGTGGCATTGTTACAGTTGCTCACAAGTCGTACAGTTTTTTGCCTTGCTGAAGAATGCAGTTATTTGAATTGTGCTTTCCTCCTAGCCGCATTGCAAGCTGTGACTGATGTTGCCAATCTTTTGCAGGTGGGAGACATAGTGTCTGTTATTGATATGCCACCAAAGGAGCTGACCACATGGTGGAGAGGCAAACATGGATTTCAGGTAGGCAGAAGCATCAGACTTGACAGTGCAACTTAAATAAAGGCAGGAAACTCAGCAATGTGTTCATAGAACTGCTGTGCCTGCACAGGCTTACTCATGGATATAAGCAGAGTGTCCTTGCGTTGGTGTAAGAGGACTTCCCCTTTCTCTCTGGACTTGGGCTACAGCAGACACGTGGTCTTCATAGGAAGTTATCTCCCTACCTAACTGTGCGAGTTAGGGATAGCCATGACCCTTTGATCGACAGCTGGCCTGATGTTAGCGGAAGCCTATGTTGTACCCCCTCCAAGACAGCTGACACTGTTATTCAAATCATCTCATTCCTTCCACTGTCTAAAACTATATCAGGCAGAACATAGAGGATTCGGAGAAAGCCAATTGATAAGACACTGCCACTGACTTGGACAAGCCACCCAAATAATCTGTGCTTTCATGTCTACAGCTATTGTGTAGTGTTAATATTATTGGTCTCTGTAAATGTTATAGCAGAGAGATTTAGACTGAATTTTCAAAAGATCCTAAACATACCCAGGAACTGGGTACCAAAACTTTTGCATTGAAATGGCACTTTCCTTCCAAAAGAGTTGTTATTCCCTAGCTTGGATTTTCTCATTAGGAAATTCAAAAGAAGAAGGTCTTTTTTTACAAAACAAAACCCAAAAGCTACTGAAGGTTGGGGTAACTTTCTGCCTCCTCACACTGTAGTGTCTCACGTTTCAGGTCCTTTCAAGTAGGAGGGATTTTCATACTGCAGCTGCTGTCTGTGAGTAGGTGGAATTAAGAGTTTGCTCTGGAGAGGGTCAGAACTGACCAGACACTTATATATTGGCCTGGAAGGTCTTCTCAAAATACCTCAGATTTTCCCTGACAGACCTTTCTGTGCCAGATCCAGATTGCGGTTCTGCTGTCATTAATACCAGGGCTGTGTGCAGTTGGATCTCCAAACACCACAAATCCCATCTGAATGGAGTGTTAGTTATACGATTACATTGCTGTCTGATTAGCCAGAGCACGTGAGATACAGTTTTTGTTGGCTTTATATCAGATGTGGGAGTTCAGATAATATCCCATCTGTAAAATCAGAGCAGCGTGGACATACGATACCTGCTCTGAAAGTAAATTTGTTTCTAGAGTTAACATATTGATATTTCTTGAACAAACTTGACTGCTCTTCTTCTAGTTTTGAACTGTGTTATGTCTTTGCGGGACTTTTGTTCTGATCTTAGAAGCCCTAAAGCTGTATTTGCTGTACTGTCAAAAATTAATGAAATGCTTTAGTACTACTTGGAATGATCAGGCTATGCCACATTTAACTTCCAAGTGAATCAGGAAAACAAAACAAAACTACTTTGTGATCTGTGCATGAGTGCAGACACTTTGCACAAAGCTGATTGATTACAAGTGTGTGGTGTCCCCGTGCAGGATGTAGATTCCATTATTCAGTGCAAGCTCCCTGCTTGCCATCAGGCTGGGTGAAATTGTGACTACATATGAGGAGCATCGCTGGTGATTAAAGACTCAACAAGCAAGGGAGCTCTTTTGCAGTTTGTCACTGCCTCTGTCTCTCAGATCAGAGCAATCCTATTGTGCTTTCCCAGCATAAAGATATGTTGATGAGCAAACCACTTGAAAAGGGGTTTGTCTGTATCCGTGCACAGTCTACTGACACAACAGATCTGAACAGCTGCAGAAATAGAGCACCATATTTTTCCTTAACAGAAAATTAGGGGTGGAATAATCTTGCAACTTAAATTGTAAGCAAGAGTCTTTCACAGTATGAATCAGATCATGGCCACTGAACCACACTATTGGAAATGCAGCAGCCATAATGTATGTTTCAGTAGCTCTCAGGATGTGTTTGCACAAATGCAGAAAATGAAGTTAGTGTGTTTTTAAGAAGTTACTGCCTGTCAGCTGAGTTAGGGTAACAGACCATCTGTATGCTTTCTGCTCCTGCTGACTGCAGACTAAAGCTAGTTAGCTCAGAGGTGGTTTTCAGCAGCTGTATCTCAGTTGACAGGCAGTAATTTCATAAGCTATGCTAACTCAGTTATTACTGCATAAACCTATCTTCTCACACAACCATGGATCTGATTTGCAGGGAGGTGCATTTTTCCTGTGCATTGACAGTTTTTGTCATGTCTTTGAAATGCACTTATCAGAGCTTTTCGTGTCCATGAAACACCATCAGCTACCAAGAGATGCAAATTCTAGCGTTGTACAAAGAGGGAGAGAGTTTTTTAACCTGTGTTTCGAGTTTAAGGCCCATAAGCTGTGAGTGTACAGAAAAAGTACATTTCCTGTTGTTTTGTTGCACCATGCTAACTGCTGCAGTGAGAAGAGAATTCAGAGAAAGGAAATTTCTCTCTGGTGTTGATACACCAGACCTAGAGATGTGTTACAGTTCAGTACAGAAGTGTACTTGAGGAATACTTAAAAAGAGTGTATAGGTGAAGAATGTTGTTACAGTAATATGTATAAGTACTGATGAAGCTGTGCAGCCTTTAAAGCATTTATTATAGGCAAACGATTCTGTTCCCATTTAGGAACAATAGCCATTACAAACATGATAGCAATCTGTTGATCCAGTCATTTCAATTAATAAAATAAATCAACAAAGACTGTCTTGCCACATAGTTGCGATTCTGAGAGCAGATAAAAGGAGGAGGTCCAAAGACCAAATGTTTGGACAGTTTGTTCATGTTACTTCTCAGGTTTTTGCTTTGTGCTAGGAAAGGAGCAAGGTTTTATCAGATGGACCACAGCCTACATGGTAACTCATGTCTTGATAGGAGGAGAGCAAGGTTTCACCGAACATGGAAAAAAATTACTTCTTGACTTAAAAGAACTCACCTGGTTTTGTGCATTTAAACCAGCTGCGACTTGTGTATGTCTGGGCAGAAGTGCATTCGTTTCTGCATGTCCCCCCATTTATTAGAATGGGGGGGGTTCTCTAAGTTGTACGAATGACCAAGAGGCAGGTCCACAGATGTCGACAGAGACGCAAATCGGATAGGTTGCAAGTATGTTCAATTTGAACTGCAGCTTTGATTCAGCATGGAAGTCAATTTATTCTTTGCCAGCCAGAGCTATCCTTCAGGAATGAATCACCATTTTTCTTATCCTTCAGATTTCTATGTTACGGTTGCGGGTGCCTTTCTCCCAATACCTGATCTAATGACTGCATTGCAAGACACTTAATCCTATGCGGAACAAAACAACCCACTAGGCATCTTACCATTTTCTCTGGTTAAAGTAAAATTATTTTGAAGACATTTTTCCTCAAGCCTTTTTCTTTTCAAATGCCCTTAGTGAGTCACTGCTTTCATTGTAAGATTGTTACCTAAATTACAGCCACCTCCACATTAACAGCCTTCCAGCCCTCTTTGTTCTCTTCTTCTTTTTCTTCATGCTTTGTCGTTTCAATCAGTAACTCTGTTTCAGACAGCTGAATCACTAGGGACAGGCCCTCTTTTGATGCACAACTGCCTTATGATGTTCTGAATAATTCTATCTTTTGGGTATAGTTTCATTAGTTGCACTACTGCACGACAGCAAGCTGCACAGCTGCTAGAGGTGACACAAAACAATGCACAAGAGCGTGCATAACCGGGGTGGACCGGCCTTTTTCGGAATCAGCCTGTGCTTACATGAGCTTGAACTGGTTGTGAAACTGCAGGCCCTTGCTTTCAAACTGTGTTCCATGCCGAACCTGAACACGGGCTTTAAGACTGAATGGATTTCCCAAAAAGGGACATGTTCTGTGTTGGATCGGTCAGGAGTAAAACAGGCTGTTAGTTGAGAGCATTTTTTTTTTTCTTGTGCATCATTTTGCAATAAATCACATGTATGTGATGTGATCATAGGCTACCAATTAGTAAAAAGGGCCTGGGAAGGCAGAGCACATTTTTGTGGCTAGTGTCACTTTGGAAACACCGGTTTTTAAATGAGAAGCCAAAGTTTGATTTCTGATTCACATTGCATTGATTTGGGAACTTGGTGCGAGAGGCAGCCATCTGGCTGGTGAATGATAGCACCTGCAAAACAAGCGATGTGCAAGAAAAGCCCAGTGGACATGTCACCAGTGACGTCATTTCTCAGCCAGATGGCCACTTCCATTTGTAGAACAGTGCCAACTGCAGTCACGTATTGGACAAAATTATGTCTGAACTGATTTGCCACGAGTTTCCCACTCTGCACGCATCCACTCTGCCCTTCTTCTGTAGGCACGTAGCAAAAGTTTGCTTGGGCACAGGCACGTGAGCGTGTGCGCTGGCATTTCCCTCGCCGTCCCCAGCCAGCGAGCGCCGTAGGAGTTGAATGCATTTCTCGAGTTGAGCAGCGGAGATTTTTCACACCTCGCTGTAGGAGCGTGTGTGACCTTTGGTAGTAATGTTCAGCTGCCTGCTAGCTCAGCCGCTCCGGCAGGTGGGAACGTTAAAGGAAGAGCCTTTGACCAGCCTCACCTAGTTTCCCACAGTATAGCTGGCGCACTAGTCAGGAATGGATCATTAACGTCTACCATCCCACACAGACATTCTTTTTGTGAGTAAAAGAAATCAGAATGAGTTTTGTGGCCAAGATGTTCAGCTCTCTTTTACAGGAGTTCAGGAAAAGAGGACTAGCAATCCTGTAACTGGTGCCCCTCTGAAATGGATGAGTACCTTCTTAACAGGTACTCATACCAGGAGCTGCACTGGTATGCCAGCTGTACTTTGGGAAAGCAGGTGAGGGTGCCCAGCTCTCTGCCCTGGCCACTACGATGTAGTTACTTGGCAAACAGCATAATGAAAATTCTGCTCATGAAAGCCAAACAAGCAGTAATAGGTTTTTAAAATCATGATAGGTTAGCCTATCATGATTTAAAACTAAAAGAGAAAAATGTTTGAATGAAGTTTAACCCACACTTTAGCCTATGTCAAAACCAAAAAACAATCACAATGTCTCAAACAATGTTTCATTTGCCATTTGTGTTGCTGCTACTTTCTCATTTGTTTGAATTCACTCCTCGTACACTGAAAATTATTACTCTGACTTTTCCCTTTAAAGCCTCATGTATTTTCCAGTTTTAGCAGATGCTGGCATAAAAGTAAAAAAAAGAGTAGCTGTTGCAGAAATGTTTGCATACAACAGTAGCCTGTGCTTTCCTCCTTTGGTTAAGGTGTGTAGTGATTTTTTTAACCTTTAGATGACCTTGTGTTTATCTAAATATATACTACGCTTGCTATTAATTTTCATTGCCAAATCCTTTAATCCTGGCTCAAGCTCTAATAGTGCCTTGCTACATCTGTGGAGATTAACTCTTGGACTAAACTCATTTATTTATACAAAATCATGGAAAACTTTCCATGGGAGGAAAAGCAGCATCGTTTAAGTGGGTGGGAATGAGGCACAGGTTATAGGTTATGACCCTGAAGATGATCTCTTGGGGATCTTGTGAAAAAAGTTAGAATAAATAAGTCAGAAAACGTAAGCCATCAGAACTATTACCAGTAAGTTAACATCAGAGAGCTTGTCAACACTAGCACAAGTAAAAATTCTCTTTCCCTAACAAAATCCGTTATAATTATTGGTTGTGGCAAAAATGATACATCGAGAACACGTACCTTGTTTTATTTGGGAAAGGTTCTGAGATATCTAGAAGCAGTGACATAACCATCTTGGGTCCTCTTTCATTTTCTAAATTCATGTTTAGCATTGTATATTGCATCCAGAAACAGAAGAAACATTATGTTAACAATCAAAGGCAAACGAGCTTTTGATTACAGTATGGGATTTTGGGTTGGATTTAGATCCACCATTTTTCATTATGATTAATGGAAGGTTGGTGTCCAAGCACTTCAGGTTTCTTTACACATCTCAGGCATAGACGTTGCAAGCAATTAAAAAAAGCTCTCAAAGCATTGAGAATGAAAGGAACTCTATCATTTCAGCTATGGAGTCTCCCAAATGGATCGTTTGTGTGATGGGACTGAGACTTTCACTGCATGTGTATGTTTTTTCTAACTTAAAAATTGTCTCCTGCATCTCTTGCACAGGAAATGTATGAGAGAGACTCTTAGCTATAGGAAAGTATTTAAAAACCATATAATGTATTTTGTTTAAATACCAGTACTTTTTGTGTGTGTACCAATCAGCCTGTTTCTCAACATCTCCTAGCAAAGCAGCATCACTGAGCTGCCTGATGAAGGGCCCCTGTATGTGATGCTAGTATTAGTGCTGGTTTTCTTGTGGTAATCGGCATATTTCTGTCTATAAACTGCACAAAAATCACCACTACATTATGTAACTCCAGGATATCATCTCCTTGCAGAATTGGCACACCCAGGTGAGTGAGTGGTTGGGTGAAGCCATACATTATCTTGGTTTTTGGATGGGTTCTTCAGTTCCGTGAGTCACTTGAGCAGAAGTGTAATGCACAGGCCAGTCTCAATTACAGGGAACCATAGATCAGAGAAGCAAGGTCTACCGATCCATAGCGCTGCTGTTAAAAGTTCTGTTCCCGTGCTGTCATAGTCTTAACAAAAAGCATATTCCGAGTCTTTAACATTAAGTGTGATGGATTACAGTTTGTCCTATTACTTGGACAAAACGTTGCCTTGCGGGATTTTGGGGGTGTTGGAAGGAGAAGTTATCTGGTATTACTATTAACTGTTGCTTCCCGTAGGGAATTTGGGATAGTTTCAAAGTCTGGAGTGTTTACCTGGACACAGCATCCATGACACTGCTACTAAATTGCTTGGAGGTTTATGGGTGAAAATCAACTTGGAGTAGGAAGGAGATTTTTTCTTTTTTCCTTGGAGGTGAAAGGGAATTGTGTAAGATATCCTAAACAGAGAGGGGACTGTTTGCCAGACTCGCAGTGCTGACTGCCTTGTGGCTCCAATGAATTTCATAGATGTGCTAACATGACTGGCAGCAGTCCTGGCCCAGTTCTTCTGTTTAGATGAGCTTGGGGCCCATCCACTGGCTCTTTGCCATGCATTGTTGCAGCCCTTGACCAAACTGTGGCTGCGTGAAGTGACTTGATGCTTTCAGCTGTCCAAAATCACATGCCTGACACGGGACAGGAAATCCTGCTTCTGGCTTAGACGGGGTGTCTCAGAGGGGTGGTGGTGCTTGAATTACATGTCACAATACAAAAGCTGTGTTGGGTGAGGAGGGTAGGATATGAGAGAAAAAGGTCTGGAAATATGGACTAAGGATAAAAGTTGCCAAAGGCTCTGGTCCGGCTTGACTTTCACCTGGGACGAGAGTGAGAAGAAAGACACTGTGGAGAGAAGGTTAGGATGCTGGCAAGTGTAAAACCCCTGTCTGGTTACATCTTAGCCTGAACCCTTAAACAGTGAAAGGGAAATAATTTCACTTCTCCCCAGATACGGAGACCTTTGAGTGGCATGTGAATTTCTGCAGGCACATCCTATTTCAACAAAACGTGAAGATCCTCCCTGTACTCTAGTCTTTAACCCTTATGCTGGTTTAGACGGTCTCTCCAGCATTTCTGAGTTAGAGGGGATGCAGGGGAAAAATGCTGTGTTAAAGGTCAGTGCAGGAACGCTGCAAATTAGCATTTGAAAGTAATCAGTCACAGGACCTTGCTGTGAGTTGGGCACTTGGAGGTGTCTTCATTGTCAGTGATGCTGGCAGCAGAGAAGAAGCTGCATTCAGTGGTTGTCAAAAGTTTTTGCATGGCACTGCTGTGTGGTAGCCCAGGGCGGGTCACTGCTCTTGAAGCATCTTCAAATATTTGCTAAGGAGAGTCTTGCCTCTGGGGTTGGTTTCTGGAATATTCTTTCTGTTTCCGCTTGATTAGCAGATACACAGATAAATCATAACGGTTAAACAGCTTGTGCAGTGTGTTTGTCAGCTGTTCTCTCAAATCAGTTTTCAGTAATGGATATGTGGCACTGTTCTCCCTTGTCCTTTGCTGGTTGGGAAACTGAGGCACAACGGTTGCACTGGCTTGTCCATGTTCAGAAGCAGATACGAGAGTACACACGAGGAGTTCTGGCTCTTGTTAGGGATTTTTTTTGCTACATCATGCTGTTTCTTCTAAAAATACTTGTGTTTATTTCTAGTCAAATTACTGGGTTCTTACTTACAAATGTAGAACTCATTTTGCTCTATGTATATTTTATTAAACCTGTTCTCAGTTCTAAGACTGAATTGAATTCAATTTAACTAAAACCACGTTGAATTTTTTTAGCAAGATTTTTAAACACGGTTAATTTGAATGCTTATTACCCATGCTCATCAGATCAAGCACACGCAGTAAGGCTAGGACACAGTAGAGAGCTTTGTGCGTTCAAAGTGTCTTCTAACTTACCATATGAGAATATGCATTTTTCTGTAATGGGACTATGCAGACATGCAAATATATTGACCCATATTTGATTTCCATTTTTTAAAGGACTAAAATGTTAAAGTGCTTGTGAAGATAGTATTCTGACAGTGAAAAAAGGTCAAGTGTTGGTGAGATTTGAGTACAGATAATTGAGATGCTAAGAGCTGAAACGTCTTGCTCTCTTCATTAAATTTCATGTTACATACATGCAGCCAGGTGCAGGAAACCCAGCTAAAGTCTTTCTGTCTCTCTCTCAAGTTCCACTTGAGATTTAAGGGTGTGTAGCACACTCGTCCTCTCCCCTCTTTGTTGCAAGTTGAATATCTCTGTCCTGTGGACCGAGCTTCGAAAACAGACTTATAACTGTATTTTACAGAACTAATTGCTTGGTTTGTAGAATTTTTGGCTGGATCATTTTGAAAAATTATTTCTTTTATGCTGGTCGTTCCATGTTGGATAATGTTATGGAGCATCAGGCAAGCAGAGTTCGAGGAAAATGTTTAACAGTTGCTGGTTTAACAGTTCAGATCTTAAAAACGCTACATTCAGTATTCTGCCTCTCTTTCTGTTTTTACTACAGGTTGGATTTTTTCCTAGTGAGTGTGTTGAACTAATTAACGACAAAGTTCCTCAGTCTGTGACCAATTCTGTGCCAAAACCAGGTATGTATGTTAAGTTTTATGATGCAGTGAAATAAAATGGAGTTATCTTTTTGGTGTTCCATGTTTAATATCTCCTTTATACATACCACGTTATATACTCTGTGTGTTGACCATCCTTTGTACGTACCATGTTATCCTTTCTGTGTGTTGATCATCCACACGTTACCTCTCTCTGAATAGTTGCCACTGTTCAATGTCTTTCATCTGCGGTGTCTTGTAAGCTAGTATTAATGTCCATCTCCTGCATGATTTGAAAGATTTTAAGCTTGTAAGAATTTAAAATTCCTTCAGCAATCTGTAACTAGTGATTCCATGCAACATCCCAGTTCTTGGTGTCCACAGAGTGTTGTATGTTAGGTTTTTTTCATACAGAGCATACAGGCGACCCAAAAATGTTTATCCTGACTTAGATGGAATAGATTAATCAGGTACTGGAAGCTTCTTTCCGTTTGGGGATTGATGGAGAAAGTCGGATATAACAGACCTTGGAATCCTAATTGCTTCTGCTGTGGGTATATGACTCCATCTACTTCCTACTGTGTTCTGGACAGTTTTGTATTGTATGAAATACAGGCAAAGTAATACCAAGCTCTGCTGATGAAAGGAAAAATAAATAGAAAATGAGATCTCGGATCTGATTCTACTGTCATCCTAGCATACACTGGAAGTGATTGCAGTTAGATGTGCTGGTGTAACTGAGATCTCTGCAGAATTTACTGGTGGTGAACCTTTTGTTTTATTCCCTTTTTTTTAAAAAATCTATATATTCATATATATATAAAAAGATATATCTGTATATCTTTTAAATTAAGAGAAGCAGTTTGGAATTGCTTTCTTAAAACGTTATGCAGCCGCCAGGTTGAGTTGGAAAGCTGGTTAACTGGTGTTCTTTTCATCTATTTTCTCTATTTTAATGATGTTCCTTATCTTATAAGATTGTTGACTTGATAGTTTAAAACAAATAGATGTGATTCAAAAGTTTGACTTTTACTAAGGGAAATGCATTTTATCGGATCTTTTGTTACAGCTTGGAACTTTTGGTTCAGTGCTAAAAAGTCATGAACACCCTGAGCTACCAGTGCACTGCATTAATCTGCATGCTTCAAAGAGCTGACAGTTTAGGGAAATAGTTTTCTCAGCCATTGGTATCTCCAGCCTTTGTTATTCCTGGGAACATGCAAATGTATTTGCTAGAATCAGCGTGGCAGAGATCACTAGCAATTCAATGCGCTGCAGCAGGTGGTCATTCCATAAATCCAGTATCTGCCTTTTGTTGTTTGAAGTTGATCTCTAAATACTGTGATCAGTCACTTCTCTCTACTCTATAGCTAAAGCACGTAGACAAGGGCAACTTTAAATCTAAATACAGGCCAGGCTGAAAGGTACAATCATAAGCAAGTGTTTATTATTAAACATGGCTCAGGCAATTAAATGTCATGAGCTGCTAGTGAGTAGTTTCTTGCTATGCTTTTATGAGAGATAATGAAGCACCATAGATTAATAGATTCTATTTGGCTTTAACAACACACCAGGGGGACCAGGGGGTGGATTTCCTCTTTCAATCCTGGGAAATGTTTGTTACAAAGTTGATACCAAAAGCCCAAGTCCTATTAAAAGTAATAAGTTGAAAGATATTGCCAAGTCACGAGGCTGTCCCCGTTGACCTTCCCTGATAGTTGTTCTATGCGTACAATTAAAGGCAAAAGACTTTTCTAGAAGAACACTAATGAGCTTTCAGATGTAAGGATTGCTAGAACAAATGTTGCAGCGGTTTCTGTAATCCTTCCCCGCCCTTCCTTTGCATGCAGAATTTAGGATACCATTTCTTTGTAGCGTTATGCTTTCTATTTTTTCCACCTTGGGAAGTAACAGTACTTGTATGGTGGAGGCAGAAGTCTGGAAGACTCTTCCTCGCTTGTTACAGAAGTTGTGACTTGGAGGGAGCTAGAAGGACTCAGGGAGGAGGTTCCCATAGTTAAGGCATGTTGAATGTGATGTTGGAGAACTCGAGGAACCTATCTGCCTGGGGGAAAAAATGATGTGTGAAATACAGAAGGGGTGAGAAGATGAAGGGGGAGGAAGGAGTTTCAGTTTCCTGGGCTGGGTTACCACGCAGCTGCACAAGCTGAATGCCTTGTCAGCGCAGTCCAGGAAGGTGGCTCAGGGGCAGAAATGACTTGCTGGAGCACCCCGAGTGGCTTAAGTAGCACTGCTGCAAAATGTGAAATTGGATCTTTCCAAGTGGTTCCTCCAGAGCCTCGCTAGGAATTGCATTGCTGGGATAATGCAGAAGAGCTTGCATTTTCCTCACCCGTATTCCGTGCATTTAATGTATTCTAATCGATGGCTTAAACATATAGGGTGTTTCTCATACACTTCAATATCCACATCAGTTAATTTTCTCCCTTTACCTACATTTGAAACATCAGATTGGCTTTTCCCAAGGAGTAGAGACTTTTCTAAAAGGAACCACTTGGAGCTTTTGTCCTTACTCGACATTAGCAGGGTATTTCATCTAGAATTAATGTGAAGTTTTAGATTTGGGCTTGATAAGACGTACTTATCAACATGCAAACTTCATTTTCTTTAATCAAAATATGATGTGTAGAGCATCTAGGACATTTTGTATCTCCAGCATAAAGCTCTCTGCCATGAAGGAATTTACAAACATAGAACTCCTTGTGTTGTTTAATTGTCCATAGATTTGGCTGGGTTGAGTAGCCTAATGAAAAGCAGATGGAAAGCAAAGAACTTGCTGCCCTGCATTTTTATTATTATTTATAATTAGAGGTTTTGATTTTGCAGAAGTGATGGGGACAGCATTTTAATAGAACCATAAAATATTGCAATGGTCTGTAATGCAGTAAAAATAATGACTGAAGTTCAGATGAAAATGAAACACAGGGAATGGGAGAGGAGGGTTGGGTTTAAGTGCAAACTCTGCTTTTAGAAATATTATTTAGAAATATTTTCTTTGACTGTGGAAGTACATGCTTACACCAGTGATAATGCAGCCAGTGCCTGAGATAAATGAAAGGAAATGGACCATACAGGAAAACTGTCCATTTTATTCAATTCTGAAAATTCAAAGTAGTAACTAAGATTATTGGCTTTGCCTTGAGTCACCTCTGAAATATATTTGACAATGAACTTTGGACTGTCAAAGCTATCATCTCCCAAAATACTGCTAGGGGTAGGTATGCTTGCAGAGGTGTATATGTATGTGCGTGTGTGCGCACACAAGCTGTCCCCTGAGAATTAAAGTCACTTTCATTATTGCTTAACAAAATTGTTTAGCATTTTCCTTTTTCAAACTTTGTATACATGAGAAAGTCATACAAGGAGAAGAAGGGCTGCTCAGGAGGTCTTGGAAGTTACCTGTTGAGTAATATTTTCCCTTCAGCATTGTACTAAGCCCGTGCCCCCTTTTTTGATGTTCAGTGCTGTAAGAAAATGCTTTTTTTTTTCAGGTGGGATGCAAACTGATATCCTGACTGTTTCTATTTATGTAAAAAACACTGTAAAGATCCGGGAAGGTAGTGTGGGCTCTCCAAATCCCAGTTTTCTTGAGCCCTTGCCTTTTTTCTAAATTCTTCCTGTATTCTTACTCAGATACAATACTCTAATGATAAATTCTTAGCCTGAATTCTTATATTGAATTGCTATCTAATATTTCATAGCTAATACCATTTACTGACAATTGAGCTGAAATTCAGTACAATAGATGGAATCAGCTCATATTTGTCAAGATTTTTAAAGAGATACAGGATGAAGGGTTGCGTTTGAATTTCAGATATTCGGTGAGAAGTGACTCTTTTAAATTTTCATTGTGCTGCTTGGAAGGAAAGACGTTAATAGCTGTTTTGGTTTTTCCTTCTAAGTGAACATTTGGGAATTGCCTGTAGATCGTGGCTGTGTTTACTCTTCTCCTTCACTTCTGTCCATCTCTGGTTGGTCTTTTCTGGGAAGAGCGTGTATGTACGTGTGTGTTCATGTTGTCCCCGCTCATCGTTTTGGCATAGTTAACAGCAGCATGTCTCAGCTATCTGTTTCAGTCCGTTCTTTCTCATAATTCTGGATATTTGTAGTTTAACAATATTTAAAATCACATGTCACGCTTCACCTCATACGTGCAATTTGTTTCATGTCTTTTGCTATCAAGTAGCATCTTGCTGTGTACCAAATCTTTACTGCAGTGTGCCTTGGCATGATCATTTGTTTGAAGGTTTCTAAACATGGTTGCTGCTGGGGAGCATCTGGTTTCAGTGGGGAAACAAAGAATAAAAATGCAGCTTGCAGTAGGCCAGTTAGAGCTTAAGTGAAGCAATGGGCGATAAGAAGGTAATGTTTCCCTTTCTTTTTTCAAAACAATGAGCATTTTTAAAACTTTGGGGGTTGTTCTCACCAGTTCCTCAGTCTTGCTTAGCATAAAAGAATGAATAACCCCAGCAGCTCTGCCCAACTTTATGGAGGATTTTTCACATTCCTGTCTCATCCATTCATTTAATTTAGATTTAACAGGTAAATGTACTCTTTACGATATGCAACTAAGGACATGTTAAAGGGTACTTGTTAGTATTACGAGCTGTTGTAAACAAACAATTTTTTTTAAACACAAATAACAGATTAATCTGGGTCAACACACCAAATACAGATAATCCACTGAACTTCAGCAGGATTGAAATTTAGGTCTGGTTCAGGCAACAGACTCTGTTCTGACCTCCTGAAGACTCTGGTACAGCCCTGAATGAATTAATTTTAACTGCAAAAATGCAAACTGAGTTACATTCATTGTGTTAGAGCTATTGCAATCATAACACTCTTAAGAGGTCATGCCTGGTTTGAAACAGGCTAGTTGCTAATCCCTGGACAAAAAAGATTAGGTTGTTTTTTTTAGATAAAAGTAAAAATCAGGAAGAATAAGGTGCAGAGAGAACTTACATTCTGCGGACGCCTGGGTTGAACAGCCATTTGACACTGACAAGTGCATGATGTCTTAGTGTTTTTATAAGGAAAATATAGAAAGATAAAATGTATGTAATTAGTACCAGTCTCATTAATCTTCTGTAAACAAACCAGTTATTTGGCGTTCAACATACAACTGTCTCATTAAAGCTAAATTAAATGAAAATTTTATTGAGCCAAGACAGGTATCCATTTCCAGCGTGGAAGCAGACAGGGAATAAACATACTACCATGCTCAAGGCTGCCCAATAGTGCATCAATATGATGATGCCGCCCAATGCATCAATATAGTTCTTGATGCAGAAGACAGAAAATGTGCTTTCAGTATTGACAGACCTAAGGACGAATCCTTCAAGAAATCATGTTCTCTCAGCTCCTGCGGAGCTCAGGCAGAACCGTGAGCGGACAAAGATTTCAGGATGAAAGGTCAACGATGTGAGTGTAAAAACTACTACTTTAGGAGATTTGCACACGTCGTTGAAATGTGCTGCAGATATTTCTCCAAGGCTCTGAAAGCCACCGTGATTCAGCCTAGTGGGCTGGGTGTTCAAGTGGAGACTTCAGCAGGACAATGCCAACTTGCTTAAACCCCAGATTTGAGCTGGTCTGGTCTGTGGGGAAGTTCTTTCCTGGACTTCGTGTTTTCTCTCTTTCATCCAAAAAAAAAGCTAGCACTTGGGGCTGAGGCAGCAAGAGCTAAGTCTCCGCCTTCTCTGCAATTAATGATTTTCAGGAAGAACTACTTTTGTCAATGGGAAAACATAGCTCTGAGACAATTTTTTTCTCTTTTTGCATAGAATGAAAAATAAGATAAAGCAGTTGTCTGCTTTAGCACCATTAGAAATGAAGGAAAGCTAAGTGTGTAAGGAACCGAATTACGCAAAATGTAAATTTACAAATCTGGGAGTCGTTTTCTTTTGTGAGCAGTTGGCGTTGTTCACCTATATAAAGAAATGTTACATCTTCCAGCCCTGTTTCTGATTCAACAAAGTACTTAAACATGGGCTTAACCATAAACACATGCTTAGCAGACATTAGAAGTAATGCAAACAAATTCTGTGCTTCGCTGTGTTGCTCAGCAGGGATGGGCCTTGTGCTAAAAGTTCAAACATGCAAAATGTTTGGGGTTTTTTTGAGCTGGGACGCACTGGGTGGGGAATTCTTGGATCCTAATGAATTTCCAAAGTGTTTAGGGAATAAAGCACCAAACAACTTGAAGGATTGGGCCTGTGGTCGTATTTTGCGCTGTGTGTAGCCTAGCTGAGCTTTATATGAAATTAACCCATTTTCAATGGATGCGTGTTTTAACCAACTTTTTTTGTTTGTTTTTTTTTCTTTTGTTTTTCTTTTTTTAATTATACCTTCCCAGTCTCCCCTGCCCACGGAGCCCGTCCAGCGTCCTGGAGCTACTTCCCCCCTTGTACGTTGTCATTTATGCCTTTTTTCTTTTTTCACTCTTTCTCTCCCTGTCTCTCTCTGTGTCTCTCTTTTTTTTTTTTTCCTTCTTCTATACATGCCAGTCAGTAGCACTGATGCTTTGAAGGGTATTCAGGGAAACCAAAACAAACCTCTAGTCTAATGTGCCTTTTTAAAAGCTCTTTGGACATCAAACAATACAGCAGAGAAACAAAGAAACTGATTCTAACTCTTTTCTGTTGGAGATGATGGAATCATTTTGAGTCAATAAAACCATAACTGAAAGAACTGAAGTGCCGGGCAACCAAATACAAATGTCAGTTTGAAAGAAAGAGAAGTTAAAAATGGGTGACAGAGGGGAGTTAAACATGGCTCGGAAAGTTTGTTAGAACTTGAAAATCTTCACAAGCAAAGATTCTTTTTTTTAAAAAAAAGATCAGAAAACGCTGTTTGTGCTTAGCATCTCGCAATGCCCAAAGTGAAACTGTCAGGTTACGTGGGAGTGGCTTACTTACCCAGAGAGTCCTGCTTCATCTTGCCATGGTCTTTTTTAGATCCTGCTAGGGCTAATCTAAACCTCATAGCAATAACTGAGCTTCGGTAACATAGAAGACTGTTTCCATAGATTTAACATTTTTTACAGTGAAGGTCTCATTTACACATATCGACTCACCCCTGGAATGTTGTTTGGAGTTCATAAATCAGTCTTAAAACTGGGTATGCAAATACTGTAGATAGATATATAACAAAATATATAATATGTATATATATACACACGTATATATATGCTTTCCAGCCTGTTGGCATAGAGACTTCTGTGCTGATACCCTTGTAACGTGGGAAACAGGCATGTGGTTCCTATTCACAATACTTCTTCCAGGAGGAGAATGTTATTTGACAGCAAACTTCTTGTTTCTGGTGTGAAGACTCAACTTTCTGAGCACCTTCCTGAGCATATGCCAACATTATCAACTGCTCTCCAGCCAGAAAGGTAGAGACTTCAGAGAGAAGGGCAGAACAGGGTTTGTATTTCAGATACAATCATGGAGAGCGTGTGTGGTGGGGCTTCTTCCACTGCACATACCCAAACCAGCAACAAGAGCCAGGGAGTATTTAAACTGGGGTAGAGTTTTTAAGAATGAGGGCAAAATTTATTGCTGTGACTGGCTATATCCACTGATAAATACATAACCTGCCAAAAAGTTTGGGAGGAGTCAGAATAGTGAATGCTTGTAAGATCCAAGGAGTTTCCTTTGGATATAGAGGTATGGAGAAAAGATTTTTCTTAGTTTTTTCATCTCTTATAGTCAAGCTCCTTGAATCCATGAGCCCTTCAAAGAGCCATTCCTGCTAAGGATCAGTAGCAGTTAACTTAAGATAATAAAGGCAGGGTTGGGCTTTTTGCCCTTTTTAACATGAAAACAAAGCATGGCCAGATTTCTGGTTACTTAATGCAACCTGAAAGGTTAGCATTCAGAGTCACCCTCCTTTTAAGCTGTTTGTGAGAAGGAAGAGTTCAACACTAGAGCAGCTCAAAGGTATAAGGCTTATTAGTGGTTCTGCTTGTTTTTCATGTGAAATTAATTTATTTTGACAGCCATGTCCCTTTGTGAGTCATGTAATTGCAACAGAGACTAGAAACTTGGCTATCGCTGCGCACAGAGCACCACTAGAGAGACCATGTGCCACATCCCTCACATGCCTGAGCACTCCTCTGTGGTCTGCACTGGTGGTTCTTGTTTATAATATTTCTTTGTACCAAAGATCATGGTCACACGTCTTCTGTTACCAGTGATTTAGGAAGATACTTTATGTATTTTTTTAAGTATGGAAGCTTTGAGGTCCTGTTCAGACTTTGCTGGTGTTAGGGGGAAGTTACTTTCTGGGCTCATGAAGCAGTTTTTAGACGCTGAAGTTGTTCTTTCCCCAGATAAAACGAGCTGAGATCCGAATAGGGAGGCAAGGGCTGAAACATGTTTTTGAAACTGGGGCAGAGTGCCTCTGCAAATGAGCTCTAAATCTTTAGTCTCCCAACCATACTAAAGACCATTATTGTGCAAGTTGCGGCTATGTTTAAAATCACTAGCATTTGCCAACCTAAATTGAGATCTGTTTTATATAGTTTTTTAAACTCTTTTTACAGTGAAAACTGTTTACGGTGATATGCATACATAATATGTGTGTTTGCACTGGAATTGAGAGTTAGACGGCATACGCTGTTCTCACACCTGAGCCAGCTTTAAGCCCAGTTGTTCAGGTACCAGTAGCATCCACTTTCATCCTCAAGTTGGACGCTCAAGTTTTCTTGGGTGTTTACTCAGCTTGTTTCATCTCACCTCATCTTTTTTGCTATTCATCCTGTGAGCTTGGTATATCACTTTACTTAGTATTTCACTTTTTGCACGTAGACATTGCTAGTTAAGACTACTTCAGGTCTAGAACATGCCAGAGAAGCAACATCTTAGAATGCATAACACTGAAATCTGGATTTCTCTAGCACTGTTTCTCTAGTTGCTGTCTCCTCAAATTAAATTGTTAAGTCTCCTGCGGTTTGTTCCAGGAGATATTTTAACTTTGTCCTTTCTCTTGCCTTCTGTCTGTCCCTCTGCCCTCTTCCCACCTGACCTTAATTATGTGCAGATTTGGAGATGGATAGTGTAAAGCCAGGTTCTGCATATGTTACAGAGGCTCTGAACCAGTCCCAGCTGAGCTCAGGTAGAGCCCATTATGTACGATTAGTCTCTCAGTGTCCTAACCAAGTCTAACACTGTACGTGATAGCAATAACCATTTACTAACACCCTAGGTTTGGTTACAGAAGCTAGATGTAGTTGAAACAGTTTATTATTAATTTTTTTATATTAATACGTGTTGACTAGAAAAGCCAATGCCTGATTCTAAGAATCCACCTTCTCGCAGGCAGATTTTCTGCAACTGATTTCATTCAAGTCAGTGAGTCCAAATCTTCACAGTACTGCTTAACAAGACCGGGTCTTGCAGCGTGAATGCTCTGCAGTAGCAGTGGCTACGTGGCTATTAGTCTGTGTATCATAAATGAGCTTCTTTTTTTTCCCCCCCCGACTGCTGAATTTCTAACTATAAAGTTTTCTTCTTTTCCCAGGCTTTCAATTTGTGCCTCAGAAAGATATATCCAAAGAGTGTGCCAAACCCTGTTTGACCATGTTCTGGAGGAAAGAACTTGCTTGAATAAGAGAGAAAAGAAATGTGGTTAAATACTATAGTTTTATGGCAATGTAAATGACCCTAATGTGTACCCAGTTGCACAGCGATAGCGGAAAACAACTGTGTTGTGTTGTCATTGTCATGACAACGTCGCTGTAGCTTTTCAGAACTAACATTAGGTAAAATTAAAGTGTTCCCAGTGGAACTAAGGAACTGAGATATGTCTCTGGTACATTTTATGTGCTTAAACAATTTGATCATCAGTTATTGAGCGGTATTTGATAACAGACATTTCAATATCTTTTTTGTTCTGTTAAATCATATCTGGACTTTTGTTTTCCTGGATCTCCTAACTGCTTTGAAAGAAAATGCAAGTGGAATTTTAGGAGAGACTGAGTAGCAAACTGTGTAAGTTTTGTTTTCCAGCAGGCTAGATCAGGGCTTTACAGTAAGGCAGGCAACATCGTATTTCCTGCAAAGTGTTCAGGCAACGTGTTGTCCTTTTATGTCCCTCTGTTTCATCTAGACCCTTTGTATTCAGGTTGAAATGAATTTGCAGGGTAACGGTACCTTTCCTAGAGATCATCCCGCTCTGTTCTTTGGGTAAAATGAATAGGTTAATGGATATTTGATATTGAAGTGATGCTAATAAATGTAGCCAGTCAGAGCTCACTTGGATCCTGCTGTCTGCAATGCTGGTAGTATGTTTCAGTTTATTAAGGAGGCTAATGTTTGTTCAATTCAGTGATTTTAAGCGCTTGGTAAGTGGCAGGCATCTTTTCTAATTGTATTTCAACTGATGGCGAATCTTCTTGTGGTTGCCTGTGCGTAAAGCTCTGCCTCTGCCGAAATCCTTGTCTGTATTTCCATTGTTACTTTCTAAAGTCACCAAAGGCAGATTTATTTTTTAACTAAGCTTTAAGGCTTTATTTTACTCCAGTGATAAGTGTTGTATGCTTCCTTTAAAAAAAAGAAAATTTTTTGGCAGTATTATTTTGCTGGTAGTTTGCATCTTGGATACGTTAGGAATGCCAAACTTAGTCTTCTATAATTATGTTGCATTGCTTGCTTTCAGTGCAGTGAATTCTGATAAAGTGCTTATTTAATCTGAATTGCTCCAGTAATTACCTGTTTTTAGGAGAAAGGGATTTATTGCCGTGACTGCCCAGGACTGCACACAGCTATAAGACATGCTGTTGCAGTGGTTAGTCTTTTGAGGTCTTTAAATCCGTGTACAGAATTGAAGTACAAATCAAGACTGCAGCAGCATTTTCCTGTTAGTTTTTTGTTTCCTTGGAGTCTTCCTTTCTCTTTGCTCTCCCTCCCTTGTTTCAAGCGATTCTTCCCCCTTCTTTTTTTCCTGCTCATTTTTTGGCAGAAATAGAAAGGGACGAGAACTGTGGGCTGATCTGTGGAAATGCTGCTATATACAGGATTCATCTGGTCTCCTATGAAAATCGCACCATAAAATCTGTGATTCTGCCGGAAAGTATGAGTTTGAGAGAACAGCTCCCTCGAGCCTGTGTGCTAGGAACAGATATTGACAGAAACTCTAAATTATAGATTCTGGGCTCATTGGGCAAGTATGCATGGGTATGTATGAGCATCCCAACAGCAGCAACGTATGTCCTGCCCTGGGTGCTAAGGACTCTCTCTTCATCCATGTCTGGGGGAGTCAATTCAGCAAAAGCTGATTTTTGCTTTAGTAAGCCAAGCAGCATTGAGCTGAGTGTTTTGGTTTGCTTTCTCACCAATAATTTGGGAGAAGGAACCAGGCAGGCCCCTCTATCTGGATCTGCTGCTCCAGTGCTCCCTTCCTCATACGGGGCACAGTAGCCCCCATGGCTTTCCCCACAGCCAGCCCCTGAGGCACAGCATTTCCAGCGCGATTTGTACAGCCGAAGCTGTGAACTATCTTCTACATGTCCCGTTTCCCTTTTGCAAGAGGGCAAGTTTTTGATACGTTTTCCTCTAGAGCTGCATGAAAAGCCACCTGAGGTTGCTCCATAATTTATCATTTTAGGAAGCTGCAAGAGAGTTGCAGGTACATACAGATGCCGATGCCAGTGCTGTGGGGAGTCCTCTGCCAAACTGGGACGAATAAGGGATTTACATGGAGCGTGAAAAAAGTTCTCAAAGTTAAAAACTGTCAAATATTTTTTTTCTGCACACTGCAATGAACCTCTGACTATGAGAACATATTTTTATATATAACTTGCTTTTGAATTTAGCCTTCAGTGGCAAATCTGAAATACTTTTCCTGTCCACCTAAATAAAATCTATAAATCTTGGCTAGCTTGTAAGTGAAAGACAAGCAAGAATTTTAAGTATTTCAAATAAGTTCCTATGGATACATAGCATTAGGAAGTCAATGTAGTTTATTTTCTTCCTTCTTAATCCTTTAATCCTTTAACAGTGCCGATGTTTTCTGACAGTAGTAAGAACCAAGCATGCATTTTGGCAGTATTTTTTAAGCACCCATGGTTGTGTTTCTTAGCCACAGGGTCTGTAGAGTTTTAGGAAATGTTTGTAGTAGATGCAGTATTTGCAATCTGAACAGATAGATATTTTTGTAACATTTCCTAGGTGCTATGGAAACACGTCGTGATGGTTATCAGGGATTTGCGAGTAAATTGGTTGACATTTTCTTCAAGAGGCCTGGATTTGAAAGCGTGGAGTTTTCCCTGTAGAAGAGAAGGGATTTGGGTATTACTGCTGTGTCTGAAGGGTCCAGGGGAAGCAGGGGCAGGGGCAAAGGAAGCTTGGCAGGGCAGGAGACTCCGTGGTTTGGGGGAAGACCAGGAGAGAAGTCTGGAGTAAACCAAAAGGGCGTCTGCAGGCTCTACGGACCCGGGATGAGGAGAAGGATACAGTTTGGTTCTGCTGTTCCATTTATATCTTTTTCTCTTTTTTAGCGGAAGTAAAAAGAGAGTTTTCTGATCTGTTACAAGACCTGCTTGTCTAAGCCCTCCCAACCCCCAAGAAGGGGAGCCTTTGTAATTTCAGAAACAAGTGTCATGTGTGCGAAGCAAGTAGTTTACAGGGATAAGTTACTGCACATGAGCATTGCCTTGTACCCCTGTAATCATTCGCACAAGTGCAAACTGAGTGAAAAAGGTGATTGCTCGGCTGACCTTTTGGCTTCTTTGTACAGTATCAGTAACAGCACAGGTGCAGGGCACCAGTGAATGAGGCCTCTGTCTCCAACCTCAGGCCAGATTTGCACTAATGGTTTTCCTGGCGTAGCTGAGTCTGCTGTAAGTATGAAAAAGATCGCACCCAGAGCCGACACAGCTTATCTGCCAAAAAAAACCCCAAAACCACCCTAAACACCCAGTCGGGGTGTAGGCACAGCTGTCCCGGCAAAAGAGCCCTTTTGTCAGCTTAGGTTATGTCAAGGGGAGCAGCGGAGCTCTGCCAGTTGAGAAGCACCTTCCACCAGCGTATCCTGCATCTCCACTGGGAGGCACTACTGGTGTAATTACAGCATTGGAAATGAGCCTCGAGTCTCCTGAAGTCACAGGGAAATGCCTGAAACAGGGGTAGAAGGAAGAGACAGATTAGTTCCTGTATTCCCTGTAGTGCCATTTCTTCCTTGTATGTGGTCACTCGTAGCCTCTGAGGCTTTCTGAGGATGTTGAACCCATAGACAGTAGCTTCAGGCCTCCCGAATTTTGACAGGTAATTTTGTGGTAAGTCTTGGCCATGTTTCCTGGGGAATTTTAATTGGAAAAGAAAACCAACAAGCGTGGTGAACGGATCTGTGCACAGTCTGTACGCATCAGTTCAGAAGTAATTGCATAGATCTGCGTACTGTGTAGGTAAGAAAGAGATGTATTAGTGTTTCTGTTACGGAAACATTCATGGCGTTTGGGGCTGGCATGCTTAACCTTTTTTTGAGAGGTTGAATCCGCTGAAATGGGTTGACTACTTGTGAAGTAAAGTGGTGAAACTTGGCTGAGTGCAGGGGTGTTGGAGGCACCAATGTGCTAATTTAATAAGGCCAGCTTTCTTTTCACATGTTCTGTGCTTCTTTCTCACTCTGCCTGCTCTCCACTTATTCAGGTTGGGGGGTTTTGTTATTTTTAAACTAGGTATTTTTTCCTTTCTCACAAGCTCTGTCAAAATGGGACTTCACTCTAATAATAGTTGGCTTGAGCAAAACTCCGCAGTTATGCTAAGAGCTTTGAAATCATGGGAAAAGGTAGTTTGTTCTGCTCTGCTTTTCCTCTTCTTTTCTCCTGAATAATTCTCTAAATCAGTGCGGGAGCCAAGTTGTGGCTTAGAAATGTTTTCAGGCAGCTTTAACCTGAGATGGTAGCATATAGCTCTGATCTCTTCTTGCACTGGCATATGGATTTATCAAGGGACATGCCAGTGCATATCTCAGATCTGCAATTAAAACTTGGTCCTGTTAAGTTCACAAAGGCTGAGCAGCTACACCATCACCTCTCTGTATGCAAAGGAGTGGTGCCTGGGCTCCGACTCCATCTGGCTATCGCTCTGATGCCCGTGGGGATCAGTGATGTTGCT